ATATCTATTTAATATCGACAAAATTCCTTTCTGAAGACACGTTGGGGATGAACAATAATCTGGTATTGACAATCGGTAACATGATAAGTTTTGGTTAAATGAATATCGTTACCTATGGCTGCTAATGAAGGAAACATGGATCACATGCAGATTCAGTGGAAAACACGAGGATTTCGCAGACTTAATTCAGAATGTTGTTTACATCTCGCCATGATAGACATTCTGTGAAATCATTCTGTGATATCAATCCGTGAATCCAAAAATCTTGGCGAAACATCAATAAAACTGATATTGTTGTCTCAAAATGACAATATTATATGTTATGTAACAACAATTGTAGCATAAAAGTATGTAATCTTGAACTTAAATGTTCAAAACTGATAAAACTGAAACACATGTAGTTCTTCACAAGCGGATTATAAACGATAGCACAGGTGTTGTTGGGCACATCCGGTATTCTAGCCAAGGACAGATCCGTTTGCGAGTAAGTATGATTTACACCATCTTCGCTTGCCAAGGGTTAATTACAATCCAGTACGATATACCTACTCTTCACCCTTGGCAGATTTCATAGCAAAATTGAATGCTCCTGGGTACGCCACATAGCGGCCTGTGCGAGTTGTGTCTCTTATAATTACGTATTCACCAACTAATCAAAATACGTGTGACAAAAAAAGCTTCGGTGAAAAAACAAACATGGAAGTGCCCATTCGACAATCTATTTGTGAGAAATTCAAGTTAACAGAACTAAGACATCGTCAAGAAACGGCAATCCAGGCACTGATTGACGGAAAATATGTAGAACGACCGGATTGTAATCCTTGGCTAGCGAAGACTTACACATACATATTACTATTACGTTCGAGATTAAATATTAAGCAATGCATGCTGCATTTATTATCACTGAGCTAGTCAATCACAGATTGTCAGTTTCTTATCACTCCTATGACACTGTTTTTATGATGTGTCTGCCCCGTGTTGAACGTGTCAAATCTGCATTTTCTCAAATGGTTTCATGCATTTGTTTGGTGTCCGAAAACTTTCTCGCTGTAACGACAACAAGAGTATTTGCAAAATAAAATCATTTTAATGTTTGACACATTTCTTTCCATGTATGCTTGTATCATTTTTTGATATATTGCGATTTGAATGTATTCCCGAAAAATAGCATGTGTTGTGTTTACCCCCTGCCAGTAGCCTCCAAAATGTAACCCGAGTATAAAAGACCGTGCGTGAAAGAGAAAAAGTCGAGTTTTAAACTTTAATTTAGCAACTGGAAGGCATTTTGAAGTAATGTGTCTGCATATAATTTTGTTTTCAGTTTGTACCTCAAGTGATCTCCTGTGGTAACAGAAATTCATGTGTTAGGAATGACACTGTTCGGAAACCTATGAGAACTAGCAACAATGAAATGTCACAAATACTACGGTGTCTAAGGCAACAGGATCAGGTAGATTGATTGGTTGAGTGGTCGAGTGGTTACTAAATATTCCTTCGCAAACTGTTTTATAGACGTTTAATTAATTTTGTCATTTAATCTGTTATATTGATTCTACAACCAAAACATGCCTTTACATAGGATGTTCAGTCAGACAAATTGAAACACACAAATCACACACTGTTCTTTAGTAAATATAGTATCAAACAAGGTATGTACAAGTGTAATGTTTATGAAATTGAGTAACTGACTGAATCATAATATTCAATTTCACATTTAAATTTTGTAATTTTCTTCTGACATAACCAGTAAGATGCTGATAAACCCCTCATACCAGGCATGCATTAACATATCAGACCATCTAACCCTTCATACCACCCAACCAGTAAGACCTGCCAACAGTCCCGATGCAGCAGACCACTACGGATATTTGCTCCAGTTGTTGAACATGTTTTTGGAAAGCTGCTAGTTGTTCTGGAAATGTTGTTATGGAATCCGCTCATACTACATGAGGCTTCACGTGAAGAGGATGTGAATATGTTTATGGAGTCTATTGAGTCTACCAGACGTATTTTAGACAGGAATTTGGCCCAGATCCGACAGTCGTCGTTAGAGGATCCGCATCTGCAGAAAACACTCAGTCTCACATTGACAGGGTCGCCCGATCGTGAAATCAACTTAGATGAATTTGATGGTTACTTCGCAGTACGTAAATAACAGTCTGTGTCAAATGATGTATTACTGCTATACCGACAAATGATCTTGATGCCTGTCGCGATGCCCTCATGGTCTTGTGTATGGAAATACTTAGAAACAGAATACTCAACAATACAAATGAAAATTAACAGCATTTGATTAATTCATCAAATACCGTTTAAGTACCTTCACAACAACTGCCTTGGTGAACCGGAAAAATACAACCGTGATAAGTTGCCAGTATTAAGATACAAAAAAATACAGCCAGTATGCATAATTACTGTACGTGAATACAGCACACAAAGTCTATAAATGCTAAATTTGGGTTAAATATAAAGTGTTGTGTTACTATCTTTTATGAGAATATTTGTTTAACGTTTCGCTCAAAAAGGGGGGATATGCTATTATTATATGACTGGTGCTAATTTACAGCCCTGATTGAAGGAGCGACGTCATGTGACGAGTCTGTAAATATGTTACAGACCTCGTTCTATGAATAGAAAAGTGTTATAGACCGCTACTAAAAATAGACCTTGGTAATTTCCCAGCCATAGATTAACAGCTAATTGCAATCAAATCATCTGCTACAGACCTCGGTCTATGAATAGAAAAGTGTTACAGACCTCGACCTATCAATAGAAAAGTGTTACAGACCTCGACCTATCAATAGAAAAGTGTTACAGACCTCGACCTATCAATAGAAAAGTGTTGCAGACCTCGACCTATCAATAGAAAAGTGTTACAGACCTCGACCTATTAATAGAAAAGTGTTACAGATCTCGACCTATCAATAGAAAAGTTTTACAAACCTCGACCTATCAATAGATAAGTGTTACAGACCTCGACCTATCAATAGAAAAGTGTTACAGATCTCGACCTATCAATAGAAAAGTGTTACTGACCTCGACCTATCAATAGAAAAGTGTTACAGACCTCGACCTATCAATAGAAAAGTGTTACAGACCTCGACCTATCAATAGAAAAGTGTTGCAAACCTCGACCTATCAATAGAAAATTGTTACAGACCTCGACCTATCAAAAGAAAAGTGTTACAGACCTCGACCTATCAATAGAAAAGTGTTACAGACCTTGACCTATCAATAGAAAAGTGTTACAGACCCCTACCTATCAATAGAAAAGTGTTACAGACCTCGACCTATCAATAGATAAGTTTTACAGACCTCGACCTATCAATAGAAAAGTGTTACAGATCTCGAACTATCAATAGAAAAGTGTTACAGATCTCGACCTATCAGTAGATAAGTGTTACAGATCTCGACCTATCAATAGAAAAGTGTTACAGACCTCGACCTATCAACAGAAAAGTGTTACAGACCTCGACCTATCAATAAATAAGTTTTTCAGACCTCGACCTATCAATAGAAAAGTGTTACAGACCTCGAACTATCAACAGAAAAGTGTTACAGATCTCGACCTATCAGTAGAAAAGTGTTACAGACCTCGACCTATCAATAGAAAAGTGTTACAGACCTCGACCTATCAATAGAAAAGTGTTGCAGACCTCGACCTATCAATAGAAAAGTGTTATAGACCTCGACCTCGACCTATCAATAGAAAAGCGTTGCAGACTGCTACTGAAAATAGGCGTAGGTAATTTCCCAGTCAGCCTGTAATTCTGTCACCAATCACACTTCTGTATTCAACTAGAATTATCTCATCAAATTCTGAACTATGTGAATATTGATGATGTCGATTGTGCAAAAAATATTTACTTGAAATTAAATATCACATGAATTGAACCTGAAATTCAATTTGTGTGTATGTTATTTTGTTTTTGAAGTTCTTTACTCTGTGATTCCAAAATGGTCCATTTTATCCATATGTTTACGACCTAACAAATTATTAATCTCATTGTAAATGTCATATAATAAAACAATTGTGGACTTCAGTTTCGGTCTGTCCCTAATTTACGGACCTGGTCTGAACAATATTCCCCCCAGCCTTCGGCCTCTGTGAATATTGTTCAGACCTGGTTCGTAAATCAGGGATATACCTCACCTGAAGTCCATAATTGTATAGTATTCAAGGTATTCTGTAAGCCTGTGTTTGCTTGATGCTATGAAGCACGTGCTTGTGTTAAGTATTATGTAAAAAACGAATGTAATGAAAAACTTGATAATTTAATTAAATGGATTCAAAACTCCTGTGTTATGATTTGTAGAATATCACAACATGTTTGCTTTGAAACTGAATTTCCTTCAAGTGGTTGTGGCTGTATATAACACTAGGGTAGCTTACCCGGTGTCAGTATAATGTGACATGATATAGATCGTGCTGATACCGTGTCCAGGTTGTGACGTTGGCATGATATGGCACTTAGAGTGGTCATTGAACGGCCTATATAGCCGTATTAAATCTAGTCTATGTACATATAAAATTCTCAACATTGTAAAAATATTGAAATGTATAAGACTCACAAAAGCATAGGTAAAAAATGATATAAATATATAACAAATGACAAGAGTTTCTTAATATTACCTCTCTAGTGCGTTCACCTCTTAGATTTTCATCGGGGGGACTGTTCATTTGCTATGTTAAGAAGAATCAATGTTTATCATTATATTAAAACTGGTTTAACTTGTTCTAACAGCAAAGATGGTTGCATGATTAAAAAAGATAATCTTGAGAAAAGTCCGTTGCGATACTCATGTCTGTAATCACATACATGTATCTCTTTTTGTAACACAATCTTTTTTTTTATCATGACGTCATCAATTTCTGTGTTGTACTGTCAACATAAAGAAACAGTTCTCCTTTGATCTATTTTATATTTAAACATCACAAGGACTTTAGATGGGGTTTTTTCTGATTATATATATTGTATATACATATATGTTCTTCGTAGTTGGTCCTGGTACTGTTACCCTGTCCCCACCGGACACTACCTACACCAGGACTGAGGGGGACACATTACCGGACATCACCTGTACAGCTGACTGTAGTCCAGGCTGTTCCTTTGTCTGGACAAAACCTGACAACACCAACTTCACTGTCTCAGCTGTGTTGTCACTGGGACAACTGGACAAGTCAGAACACGGGACGTACAGATGTACTGCTAGGAATGTTGTCGGGGAGTCAACTACAACTGTAACTGTGTCTGTGATGTGTAAGTTATATACACTGTTAGGCTTGTTTAAGTCAATGAAAATGCTAAGAAGTATTTTATTCAAATAAAGCTTTTGATTTTTAGCTTACCTGGTCCGAAGGACTATGGTTAGCTTATGCCATACGACAGCGTCCATTGTCCATCCGTCTGTCAACTTTTCCTTTAAAACACTTCTTGTCCTGAACGGCTTAATGAAATTTAACTAAATTTAGTCTGGTGCATTCTTGGGCCAAGGGCTCTCAATTTCCTATAAACGGTGGGTGTGCCCCCCCCCCCCCCCC